TCTGCTTTCAGAACCACAACGCAGAGCCGATTATGAGAGCAAAAAAAATCTCAGAGCAATTTTAAAATGACTTTTGTTGCTTTTGGGTGTCCTACCTTCTGTGGGGTCCTACTTTCAGTTTTCTTCTCTAAACAGAAAGAAAACAAATGTCTTAAAATAAAAACATCCAATAAAAAGACTTATTGTGAACATTCAAGCGTCTCAAACTCACGCCGGCCTGTTCGTTTGGGGGTGCAGGGTTCGGCCGCTTGGAAGCTTACAGTTTTCCCAGGGGTCCGAGCAAGCTCGCTCGCTGCGTCAACAAACAGGACAAATAAGCGTCCAGGGGGAAATTAATCCAGCTGAAGAACAACACAGCTGTAGAAACGGCAGCAGCTCTCACCTGTGTTGGCCATGCTGTTGCCACGCTTGACCTTCTGGAAGGTGAAAATGGAGGAACCCGCCAGTCTGGACAAACCATCCTCATCGTCTGCAAAGCCAAGAAAATAACTGCAGTGCAGCATCTTTTCTCTTCTACTGATCATTAAGGATAATCCAGAAAGTACTAAAAACTTTAATCAAACAAATCTAATCCAGTATTTTAAACTTTTCACCATCAAATACATTCAAGATTATATAAATGCATAACAGTTATCTATTTCTTAATTTATTTTGATGATTATGGCTACCAGCTAAGGAAAGACCCACGAACTAAAAAATAAGAAACATTTTAAAGGGAAAAAATGTCAAGTTCCTGCAATGATTACCTTCAGCATTATCCGTTCCTAAAGACTGGATGTAATCCTGCTGATCAAAGACTCCGTTTTCCTCCTGATCTCCATCTCCTCTGCATCCTTTTTGTCCTGGTGGGCTCTTAAACTTCACCATCCTCTGCACTGCGCCGGCGCTGCCCTGCACGCCTTGTTAAAGCATGACAAAAACAAAATCAGAGGCAGAACGTCTTAGAAGAAACAATGGGTGTTTATACTTCTTATACATAGTTCATACATTCTAAATAGAATCAGACACTGTGCCATTTCAGAATCCTTATTCATTTCAGTCTAAGGTGTGTTAGGTTCATTTTTTTGGATCAACCAAGTATGTCTTAGTTTCAAGCTGGTAGCTCTTCTTTGGAGTTGAATCTGGGGTCTTTTGTATTTTATTATTCCATATAACTTAATTTAAATCACCAGTACCTAGGGTTGTCACGATACTAAACATTTCAACTCGATACCGATACTAAGGAAAATATTCGATACTCGATAACATTTTCAATACCACAAGGATAAAAACAAAGACTCCAAAATTCTACAGAAATATTTTCATTAATAAATAAAATACAATAAATAAATACAATAAAGGTTGTATGCTGTGCACAATATTAAGCAAGCTTGATAAAAAACTTATAAAATTAAAATTAAGTGTTCCTTCCTTTGCACACATAACAATGACAAACCAGTTAAGAAACAAAAATAATTCTCAGAAGCTGCACCTCTTACAAAAAAAGTCTGAAACTGAAAAGTGCACAGAATTATTCAATCACACAGTGTTCTGAAAGTGCATTGTCCTCTATTCTGCACTTTAGATGAATGACTGCTTAGGTGCCACTGGTGGTAGCACTGTATCGATACTTTTGAAAATAAGTATTGTATCCGGATACAACATTTCAGTATTGAAAGCTTTTGGATCTCCCAAGTGACATGATGCATATGGGATGGTGCTAGGCGGGCGGGCGGGCAGGCAGGCAGGCATCAATCTATCTATACATGCATACATCTATCATGCTTATTTGCAGTTTCTTTCTAACCTAAATGACATGCTGCTGTCATTTTTGCACATCTCTGGTGTTGCTATTTTTCTCCACATATCCATTGCCGTAAAAATGTCCACAGCTGTATACTATTTATTCTCCAGATGCACAGTATTTATATTCTAAAAACACTGTACAGTACAGTATCCCATTTGTTTATTTTCTTAACACTTCATAGGGCAAGTTACTATTTTTGATTACTTGCCTTACTAAAGGAGTTCCCCCATCCCTAAGCAAGGTCTAGAAGCAATAGATCTATATCCAACCACTTAGCAAAGATGCTGCTACCTAGCTGTACATTTTATTTTGGCATTTGGCCAATTAGATGAGCCCTTGAATGATATATTACCAACTGGAAATTAAGTTTAAAAGCAAAAGTTAACAATTCAAGAGAAAAAAAGATAAAAAACTAATTGAAAAGTTAAAAAGTAGAGTTAAAAAGTTAATAAGCCAAGTTAACAATTATATTTAGGTATATAAACTAAAAAATTCAAGTGCCAGTATCCGCATCAATGTATTCCTTTCACTCTTAGTTGTTTTTGATGAATTTCTTATAGAAGAACTTTTGTTATTTTCATTATATATTAGGGTAGGTTGGCGTTTCCTGTTATTACATTGACATTCATTTTTGCCATCAAAATATCCATGTTTTTTAATGTAAAAAGATAATAAGGTCTGATCTTGGATTCCATTAACACTATTGGCTGAAATTTTTTGATTTTCAAAGGTATTTCACTGAGTTCCCTATAAAGGCTTAACCCTGTCACTTATTCTGTTATTTTTTAAATACATTTTATAAGGTCCACTTTTGCTATAATCTTTTGCTGCTGCTGTAAAACTACAATTTCCCCCCATTGTGGGACAATAAATGGATTCTTTTATTCCATTTCCATTCTATTCTAATCTGTGGTGAACATCAGTGTGAAATTGGATGCCTTTTGTTTCAGATTAGAAATTTGTAAAATTATATTTTCCTGATTACATACTCATTATTAAACTTCGGGCTCAAATTAAAATTAAAAAGCCTGAAATATATACTTTTTCACAAGGATAATGAGACAGGAAAAGTAGAGCTGCTCACCCTCCTGTTTTTCCACGATATGCTCCAGAACATCTCCATCCCCGACGAATTTCACTTCCAGCACACTCATCCCTTAGGATGGAAACAATGGTAAATGGTAAATGGCATGTACTTATATAGCGCCTTTATTCAAGTTAGGAGACTTGACCAAAGCGCTTTACACTACATTCATTCACCCATTCACACACACACTCACACACTGATGGTGGCAAGCTACATTGTAGCCACAGCTGCCCTGGGGCTCACTGACAGAAGCGAGGCTGCCGTACACTGGCGCCACCGGGCCCTCTGACCACCATCAGTAGACAATGCGGGTGAAGTGTCTTGCCCAAGGACACAACGACAATGAAAGTCGGAGTCGGGGCTTGAACCGTCAACCCTTCGATTACAGGGCAAACTCCTACATCCAACGCCACTGTCGCCCCAACAACAACAATATTATAAAGAGCAGGTCGGTGAGGTCTGCTTAGCTGCTGATATAAGGTTTCTACTATCTCACTAATAAAAGAGGACAGAGTAGTTCTGGTTATTGCAGCTGCGTCATGGACAGCAACACCACCTAAAGATGAGACGTAGAAACAAACACAACTTACTTATGAATAAAAAGACGCGAACAGGTTTGAACTAAAGAAAAAAAGGGAACAGAAAACTTAAAAACATGTTGTGCTACGATGTGACAAGTTTCCGCGCCATCCTGAAGATTTTAAACCACGTGACGAGTGAAAGGTCAGGAAGTGACCAATCAAAACGCTGGATTTGCTTAAAACTACATTTCCCAGGTTGCACTTCTAACCTGACTTTTTATATTCCCCCGAACATCTATCTCAAAAGGCGGAAGAGGATTAGGGCCACTAAAAAAATAAAATTTAACTGATTTTTTTTTAATTTTATTTCAGTTTAATATGGAAAAAATTTCAGAATTCTGACTTTAATCTCAGAATTCTGAATTTAATCTCAGATTTCTGACCGAATTTTGACAGATAAACATGTTAGAATCAAGCCGTAGCCATGTCTGTTTAAGAGACTAAACTAGCTCTCTTGTTTTAATCACCTTCTCCTCTTCCATTAATGAAATAGCATCACCGGGGACCCCTCGGGCATGTAAAAAGTCATCATTTTTCACCAATGTGTTACTTGCCCGCCCAAACAACTCACATCTTTCTCAGTGAAGCTGAGTGCTCCCACATCTCTTCTTCATGGTGACCATCTACATTAAGATCCAAAATTCTGAGAAGTCAGAACTCTAAGATTAAAGTCAGAATTCTGAGATTAAAATCAGAATTCTTAGAAAAAAGTCAGAATTCTGACTTTTTCCCAATATTAATCTTATTATAAGATTAATATTTAAAAATCAGTTAACTCTTTTATTTTTTCAGTGGCCCTAATCCTCTTCCGTATTATAAAATGTAATAATAAGCACAGTTTTTATTGTTTTTACTAAAAATATGCTCACCAAAAGAAAAATATTTATATATTTTTATTTACTATTAACCACCTCACTCATCATCCAAGCAGACATCATTTATCAACTAAAGGATATCTATCCATATAAAGAAAGGTTAAACTCAAATATTGTCCCTGACTCCTCAGGACCTTTAACTCCTGATGCCAACAAACAGCATCATAACTGCAGAACAAATAGACCACTGAAAAAAGCTTTCTGCATCAAGCTGTTAAACTCCTGAGCCACTGTTAAGAAATGCACTGTATATTATTGCAGCTATTTTATTCTTTGCATGTATATTTTTTGAAAGAGAACATTCATTGACATTGCTCATATTTGCAGGAAAAAAAATGCAGGATCATAACTGAGGCGAACTTCCATCCTCTGTGCCCTGCTGAGCCAATCCCAGCTACTTGCCCAACACACTCACTTAACAAATCTACTGGCTAAAAAAAAATCTGTTACTTTTCATTATAAAAAAAATATATAAAAAAATATCTAGCCTCCAAAACCCACTTATTCCATCCCTCCCGCATGCCTATATCCAGGCACCCACACCAAACTCCTTCCTCTACATCCAGCCCCATAACTTAACCTCCTGCACATTTGTCATTTGTCAACATAAATTGTAAACATTAGGAACATATTTCACCTCATGTTTTATTTTTTTTTAATATTTTTAGATGATCTATTAAACAATCAGATACAGTGTCTTGTATGCTATACATTTATTTTTTACAATAATGTGCAATTTTAAATTAATACATTGTGTTTAAATTTTGAGATGCACACACAAATTCTTTTTTTAATAAATCACATATGCCTAAAGTGTCAAATTCTATGCAGTCACTAAAACTCTAATAATTATCTTTACTTACAGAGTTTAATATCAAAGAATTCCAACTGAACCACATCAAATTAGCTAATTTGAACATTCAGAAGTTCCTTGTGTTAAGAGTCACATAGTTTCTTTGTAGAATAACACTGATACAAAAATAAACAGTAGAATCACAGAAAATGTTAATTACCAATTTATTTAGTTAGAAGTTAAAATCAATTTGTCTTCACCCCCAGTAATTCTGTCACCTTTTTAGAGTCAGCATGCAGTGAACAGGTCTACTACTTCTATACCCAAAATTAGTTCACAAGTTCTTCTTTTAGCACATATCTATATACTAAGAACAATACGATATGTTTTCTCTCTTCATATCAAATCAACTGAAGCTGCTTTAAATGCGCAGCTGGATAGATGTTCACCAGCCACGGGTTGGCGTCCACTTCCCCAGCAGGCAACCCTCAGAGTGCACGTGGTACACAGGGTGCATCATGGCTGTCGCACATGACTGTAAAGAATGGGGGGGAAGATGGTTAATAGAAAGACACTTCAAAGCCAAATGCTTTGAGAAACAATTTTACATGTTTATTTTAAATGGGGAAATGCATATTCAACGGCATAATAATATGAATATGCTAGAATTGGTAAAATGGCCTCTTTATTTCTGTGCTCCCCAACAGGAAGGAGAGAAAACAGCAAACAATAAACCATTCAAGAATTTTTAACAAAAAATAATGAATTCCCAAGAGGGGAAAAATAATAATGGTTGAGATTAAAAAAATGTCTAAACATCACACAGATTAAAATAGCCCTGACTCTGAAAAAAACTAATACAAAAGCTATGTTTCCATTTTTTTTAAACTTTGGGAGAGCGGAATACTTCCAGTCAGGAATCCCACTTATCTTATCTCATTAGAAACAAAACCTTTTGTGTAACGAAAAAGGAAACTACATCTAATAAACAACTATGGTATAAATATGTGAGTCTGAGCTCTGACATGCAGAGCATCTTAATAGTCTATATCCTGCCATTTTAATAAACTGAGTGCATTCATCCTTTGGTTATCTTATTTAAGTTGGGCTTTTGTTCCCCACAACCAGCTGCAATGAAACAGGCTTGTTTTTATGTATACTTGTATAAAACATCTGTATAGAATTTATAAATAATGCACGAAGAGTGCATTTTTAATTTTTTTTATATATATAATTTTGCTCTAACCCACGTACTTTATTATTTTACCTTCTCATATCTTGTTTTTTTTTCAAATGGAAAGAACTCAGTTGGCCTAATTCTGTGGTGTCCAACCTTTTTGACACATAGACCAAGATTGTTGAGTCAGGAGTACTTTTGGGCAAAGCGGCTACAAAAAAGTACATTATTATGAGAACTTTTTATCACCTGCTCCATTATAAACATGTGTGCAATACTTTGATTATTGGTATGTTTTATGTTGAACAGGAATGTGTATTTTTTTGCAATGTTTGCATATTATTTCAAGCTGGACTATTTTTGTGTATTCTTTTAAAAGACAAGTATTTGCATTTTAACCAACCATTTCAGTGCAATAAAGGGCTTTTTTTTGTTGTTAAAATCACTGGGAGAATAATTGGTTGTAAAAAAGAATTAATAAAAAAAAAGTCTAATGTGTTGTACCTAACATTTCAATTTGTCTGCAATAACTTTATTCTAATTGTAAACAAACTTTCCATTTCCATCAATGGCAACCTCCTGGCCTCATTCAACAAAATAGTTTTTCAGCCACATAATATGATTTTGATACAATCATAAACAAAAAGTCTTGAAAGTTAATAAATAAAAACTATTTACATGATATGCATTCCCCCCCCCCCAAAGATGAAATACATTTTGTAGCTGTAAAAATAAAAAACAATGTTTAGCAAGAAAAATGGCTTATATTTAGATAAGCCGTGCTCCATTCTAAGGATGTACGGGATAATGATAGAGTCATTGTGTAGAAACTCAAGAGGTCATTTCTATCAACAGAGTCAAAAACAAAGCAACAGTACTGACGTGGTAAGGGATCAAGGTGAGCAGAGAGCCAATGGGGTATTTGCTGTAGTCCAGTGGACCTGAGATGGGCTCCACTCTCCCGTGCTCTTGAGTCATAGACAACAACCTAGAGAAAACACCTCTGAGTTTATTCAGCCCCACTTAGATTCACTTTGGAGATCAGAGAATAAGAGAGAAGAGGTTTTACTTAAGGTTTGGATGCCCTTCGATCACAGCATATCCAGTGGGAAGTTTTCCAGCTCCGTCCAAACTGAAAAGAACAATGTCAGAAAGATTACTGGACATGTTTCCACCAGAAAAGCTGCATGGTTTGCATATTTCTGTCTATACTGTTGATTTAAATAAATACAGCACCATTTATTAAAGCTACCTGATTCCAGCCCATCCACAGTCGATCAGGAGCTGGTTTCTGTGAGGACAATGTCCAATGACTCTCGTCAAAACCCTCACAGCCACATCATCCAGACTACAAGATCCAATAATGGACTGCATGGCATCTAAAATCAGACAAGAAAATCTTTTTTTATTTTCATCATTCTGAAACCAGCTACCATTAACCTACATGACAGCCCACCGTAGAAGACATAGTTTCCAGGATGCACCTCGCTAAGCTTTCCCATGTCTTTGACAGGATGACTACAGGAAGGGGTGGAGCCAATGCTGGACTTACAACTGATGCCAACAGCCTTCAATCTGCCAGGTGAAAACATAAGTTGATTTTTTTTTAAAGCAGGGTTGTTGTGCTGAGAATTATTATTCTATCAGATTTTTTTCTTTCTATTTAATATGCAGACACCTCTAATATTAATACATTTCCATCAGTTCATTCTAAGTGTCCTGAACTGGGGAGGAGAAGTTTTAATTTACTCAACAAAGTGATTCACAATTAAATTAATAAACATTTACTCTTTATGTTCTTTATAATTTTTGTTTTTCTTACACCAAGGAACAAAAACACAGATCACATTGACATTTTTGAATGTGTTTGAAGTGTTTTTGAATTGAACTGAATTTTCTTGCTATATGTAGTGAGGACCATGTATTGAATCTCATTGACTTCCATTGATTTTCATTCATTTATAATATTTTAGATGCCCTAACTATAAAAATAACCCAAAATCAAACCGTTACCCATTAGCACCTTAGTAACATCAACCTAAACGTAAAGGTACGCAGTCAGGTTATATGACATTTTTTAAATGTTTACACAAATAACTTTATCTGTTTGCATTCAAAGTTTTTCCTGAAAGATTACCACATCCTGCTGAATTATTTTATTTTTTTTTATTTTTGTGTTTTACACTTTGTTTTTTGCTCAGTTTTTTAGTCAGTTGTGTATATTTAAAATAGCAAATGCATCAGTAAACTGTGCATGCTAACAGAGGGTAAACAAGAAACTAGCCACTGCAGCTAAGCTAGGTAGC